GCCCTTAACAGAAAGCCACCCACCCCATACTCCTGGAGCGTCCCCCACAGGGTGCCCCTGGGGACACGGTCATAAGCCTTCTCCAAATCCACAAAGCACATGTGGATTGGTTGGGCAAACTCCCATGCCCCCTCCATCACCCTTGCAAGGGTATAGAGCTGGTCCACAGTTCCACGGCCAGGACGAAAACCACATTGCTCCTCCTCTATCTGAGATTCAACTATCGATCGGACCCTCCTCTCCAGTACCTTGGAGTAGACCTTTCCAGGGAGGCTGAGGAGTGTGATCCCCCTATAGTTGGAACACACCCTCAGGTCACCCTTCTTAAAGATGGGGACCACCACCCCGGTCTGCCACTCCCTAGGAACTGCCCCCGATGACCACGCAATGTTGTAGAGACGTGTCAACCATGACAGCCCTACAACATCCATAGCCTTGAGATACCCAGGACGAACCTCATCCGCCCCTGGGGCTCCGCCGCTGTGTAGTTGTTTGACTACCTCAGCAACTTCTGCCCCCGAGATCGGACAGTCCATCCCCAGGCCTCCCAGCTCTGGTTCCTCCTCGGAATGCGCATTGGTGGGATTGAGGAGCTCCTCAAAGTATTCCTTCCACCGTCCGACTATAGCCTCAGTTGACGTCAGCAGCTCCCCATCCCCACTGTAAACAGTGTGAGCGAGTTGCTGCCTTCCTCTCCTGAGGCGCCGGACAGTTTGCCAGAACCTCTTTGGAGCCGATCGATAGTCTTTCTCCATGGCCTCACCAAACTCCTCCCATGCCCGAGATTTAGCCTCGGCAACTGCCACTGCTGCACCCCGCTTGGCTATCCGGTACCTGTCGGCTGCCTCCGGAGACCCACAGACCAGCCACGCCCTGTAGGCCTCCTTCTTCAGCCTGACGGCTCCCCGAACCTCTGGTGTCCACCAGCGGGTACGGGGGTTGCCACCACGACTGGCACCGGCCACCTTACGACCACAGCTAGCAACAGCCACCTCGACAATCGCAGAGTGGAACAAGGCCCACTCGGACTCAATGTCCCCCACTGCTCTCGGGACGTGGTCAAAGCTCTGCCGGAGGTGGGAGTTGAAGACCGTCTTGACAGGTTCTTCTGCCAGGCGTTCCCAGCAGACCCTCACTATGCGTTTGGGTCTGCCAGGTCTACGCGGCATGTTCCCTTGCCATCTGATCCAACTCACCACCAGGTGGTGATCAGTTGACAGCTCCGCCCCTCTCTTCACTCGGGTGTCCAAAACATACGGCCGCAGGTCAGATGATACGACTACAAAATCTATCATCGACCTGTGACCTAGGCTGCCCTGGTACCAAGTGTACCGGTGGGCATCCTTATGTTCGAACATGGTGTTCGTTATGGCCAAACTGCGGCTTGCACAGAAGTCCAATAACAAAACACAGCTCGAGTTCAGATTAGGTGGGCCGTTCCTCCCAATCACACCCCTCCAGGTCAAGCTGTCATTGCCCACGTGAGCATTGAAGTCCCCCAGCAGGACAATGGAGTCCCCTGATGGAGCACTATCTAGCACTCGTCCCAGGGACTCCAAAAAGGGTGGGTACTCTGAACTGATATTTGGCCCATAAGCACAAACAACAGTCAGGACCCGTTCCCCGACCCGAAGGCGCAAGGAAGCTACCCTCTTGTCCCCCGGGGTAAACCCCAACACACAGGCAGAGAGTCTCGGGGCTAACAAAAAGCCAACCCCAGCCCTCCGCCTCTCACCCGGAGCAACTCCAGCAAAGTAGAGTGTCCAACCCCTCTCCAGGTCTCGGGTTCCAGAGCCAATGCAATGTGTCGAGGTGAGTCCGACTATATCTAGCCGGTACCGCTCAACCTCTGCCACAAGCTCCGGCTCCTTCCCCGCCAGCGAGGTGACGTTCCATGTCCCAAAAACTAGTTTTCTTGTCCGGGGATTGGACCGCCAAGGCTCCCGCCTTGGTCTGCCACCCGATTCGCATTGCACCGGACCCTTCATGTTCCTCCTGCGGGTGGTGGGTCCACAGTTGGACGAGCCCATGTATCCGGTTCGGGCTGGGCCTGGCCGGGCCCCATGGGCGAAAGCCCGGCCACCAGGGGCTCGCTCACGGGCCCCAACCCCAGGCCTGGCTCCAGGGTGGGACCCCGGTAACCCTCCGGGCCGGGTACTCCGACTCTTCGTTTTAACCGCCATGAAAGATCCTTCGAACCGTTCTTTGTCTCACCCTTCACCTAAGACCAATTTGTCATGGGAGACCCTACCAGGAGCACTAAGTGCCCCAGACAACATAGCTCCTAGGATCATTAGGGCACTCAAACTCCTCCACCACGATAAGGGGACGGTTTAATGAATTTGTTATTCCAAATCAGGTGTTTGTGTGGGGAAAATTTATTTTTGTGTATAAGAAGCCAACATAATAACGCCTGCCTATGAAAGTTAGATAACTTAATGGGAATTTTGTTAACATCAAAGTCACAATGTAAAAGAAATTATTTTCCTCCTGCGGTTTTAAAAACAAGGCAAGGTACAAAATACCATAGTTTATTTTTGTTTTTATATAGTACTTTATCCAATTCCCTGATTGATCTTGAGATGAACGTCACCGGTCGACTTTTGTTGGCTTCTTTCCTTCCAGTCCGATGGCTAACATCTATGTAGCTTCGTGGATCTTGACCAGAGTCTGGTGTGATCACCTTGCATACTTCCACGATACTTTGACATCTCCTCCTTCCTGTTCAGGCAGCCCATACAGACGGAGGTTCCATCTTCTATTGCATCGCTCCATCTCATTTACCTCATCACCGAGAGCCGTCATGCTTTCTGGTGTTCTTCGTTAGCTGCTTTAATGCTGGCTACTGTGTTTTTCGTGTCTTGTACTTCTTTGTACGAGAACTCTGAAGTTTCCTTTAGATCTTTGATGGTGTAAGTATTTTTTTTTAAATTCAGAGCAGCAAGATTTTCAGCACACTCTTTGATTTTTTTCAGCGATAAGTCTCACACTATTATCTTGTTGCTCAGACATTGTTGGCTCTACTTTCCCTTTCTTGGATAAGGGTGTACGTGGGGCAGACTCCAGAAGAGGAACGCTGTCCGCACCTGAGTCAGCAGCGTAGGTATGCATCTCAGCCGTAGTAACAATGTTCAAACCAGTCTTGGGAGATTTGGTTTTTTAGGTCCAAGGGGAAGCCATTTGTTTACTTTTTTTATCTTGTTCTCTTGGTCTTTTATCAGCCATATTTCCTGGTGTTCCAAACGGTCCAAACACGATAGTCCAAATCACCCGCCAATCAAATGCGCAACCAGAAGTCAAAACTGGAGAAGTTGGCCTTCCTAACAGTAATATACAACTTGAAAGGTACTTGAGGCTTTGTTTAAGAGAAAAATAGTTCTTTAGAGGTGAGAAAATCCTTTTGTTGCGCTAACCGCGAACTCCTACAACCTCACCGGTCGCCATCTTGGCTCCGTCCCGTCTCTTTGTGACCTCCACTGGCTTCCTCTTCCTCTGTGCATCACACTGAAGGTCCTCCATAACCCGGCCCCCTCCCACCTCTCTGCTACATCCCTCTCCCTCCCCCACAGGACCAAGCTCTGAACTTGGGGAGACTCTGCTTTCTCCATTGCTTTTCCATTGCGTTCCGTTGTTCTCGAAGGGGAATTTTCAGATGTTTTCTTTTCGCAGAAGTTTCGGAGTTAACCGGTTTCGGTTCGCCTGACCCAGTCAAACCAGAACCTCTGAAGATGCAGCTGCTCACACTCACGTCTTTATTCTATGTTCTGTTTGCCATCCGAACATTTGAGCAGAACTAAAAGGCTAGCTAGCTTTTCTCCACCAAAATGTTAGCTAAACTAGATGGTTTGTCAGTGATGGCGTCTGATAACAAATAAACTTGAATGGATCAACGGATTTCCCAGCATGCTTTTGTCGTTTTTAAAAGAGCAAGTCACCCCCTACCAGTCTTACTCCACTCCCACTTCCTGTTTGAAAAAGGCAACAAATGCTGTTGCCTGGCAGACCGAGAGGGCGGAGACGCTAACAAATACACACACACACATAGGCTCACAACAACATTGTGACATCATATGGTACCAGCTAACATTCTAGGGTACCTCTTGGCCAATAGCGATGGCAGATTTAAATTCAAATGCAGTGCAGAGTTTTTACCTGACAACGGCGCAACACTGACAGTTTTAGGCAGAATATTACAATTTTAACTAAAACACACTAAAGTGCAAAACTACTAACTACACGTGTCTGCAGCTCGATTAGACACACATTTATATAGTTTATCAGAAATAACATGTTGATTTGGGGGTGACTTGCTCTTTAAATGTTGAAAATTAAATAAATTAAACAAGTTTTCATTCATTTCTGCTGGCAGCAAATGTGACATTATCATTACCGAACCATCAACGGGAGGTTGGGAGGACTGGCATGATTGAGATGGTGGAGATGGTAACGCAGTAGAAATAGCAGGAAGTTTAAGTTTTAAACTGAAACTTGTCAACAATTCACGTCTGTGATCAGCTCTGTGTCAAGCACAAGAGGATGCGTTAGAGCCAGATCTGTTTGAGGGAGCAACGGAGCCGGCCTCGATCCCGACCCTCCACCGCTGGGACCGGAGCACCCTGGGACACCCGCAGGATCCGCTAATGCTAGCATGACTTAGCATTTAGCATTGTTGTGTTCACAGATGAGTTAAAAATTCACTTTTATGATTGTTGCACGGTGATTCAGAAAACAGAGGAATCAGATTTTGGAGCTTCACATCGCTGAAGCATCAGCTGATTACAGTTTTTAAACATTTTAACGCACGTCTAGTTTATATTTCCATATTCATAATTATAAGTTTCTCCAAAATGTAAAAGGAGAAATTATTTTTTTTTATTCTAACAGGTCAGACAATCAGAAACCGGTATCGGCCTTCAAATCCACAGTCAGTGCATTTATTCCGGACCTCTACAGAGATGTAGAGAACAGTTTCATAGCAGTTTCATAAAAACCCAAATCAATTCTTTTAGAGTGTTTATTATAAGATCAAACCAGAAACATCAAGAGTACAACGTAAAAAAGACTTGGGACCCCAGGAAACACCATCATCACCTCCCAATATATTAATATAGACAGATGAAAGTTTGTTTTATTACAGAAAGTCTGAATCGTACAGGAGCATCAGCATCCAACACCTTCCCCGTACATCAGTTATTAATCACACCTAATCTGCATTCACACACTCAGATTTCATAGAGCTCTCCCAAACAACACAGGCTCACGGTAGCAAAGGATTCTGGGACATTGAGTTCACTGGTTTAATCCGCAGTGAACCAGGGTTATCCCAATCAGCTCCCAGTGATCAAAGGAATGTCAAATTTTACCACACACACACACACACACACACACACACACACACACACACACACACACACACACACACACACACACACACACACACACACACAATACAGTACAGACAACAAAACTCTGATAAAGTTCACTTCCTGTTTAGTTTTCAGATAAAAACAAACATTTAATAAAAGATCTAAAACATAATTTTTTCACTTTCTGGTTAGATCTTTTGATCTTTATTATCAGAAAACAGCTGATGTAGTTAGACCTTCCTGTCTTTAACGTAGGAGTAAAAACCCAGCAGCCTTCTGGGCTGTAACCACGAAAACTAAGATAAAGCATCTTTAAAGGGTCAGTGTGTGTCGTTTACTGACACCTAGTGGTCAGACTAGAGATAGCAACTCCATGTTGGTGCAGGAATTTCCTTCAGAAGATGCTAAATTTACATTTTCCCTCTCCCTACCGATCTGATCAGGCCTGTTATTATCGTATGTAATCATCATCATCATCATCATCATCATCATCATCATCACTCTTACAACCTGCAGAAGCAACTTGATCTTTAATAGTCAGTTCTGAACTTCAGACACTGATTCTAAGATTTAAAAAGCACGGACAAATACCAAAAACAAGGAGAAACCTTTCAAAATAAAGCATTTCAGTGTCTCCAGCTGAAGAAATGGTCACATGACCTCCAGCACCATAACCATGACCTTTATCGTTTTGTGTGTTGGAGAGAAACTGGAAACCATCAACTGACCTGGATTAGTTTAAGCTAATCTGACTTTTATTTTGATAGCTCTGAACATCACCTGCATGGGCAAGGAATGGGGGGGGTCTGAAGATCATCGTAAAAATATTTATACCGGTATATTCTATTTAGAAGACATGAATGAAGTTAGAATCAATAGTAAAAGAATCAGTGATAAAAGATTTTATAATCTGCTAATAAAAACAGTTTCTAACAATAAAACTGTACTTTTTGTTTTTACGAAGGAACTTTAAACACGTTTCTGCTACTCAGAGATAAAAACACAACCTGTTCATGATTTAGCTCAAACTCAGATTAAAGGGGACCTTTATACAGTTTTATTTTCTCATTCATGACATAAAAACACCAAAACATCCGTTTTTAGTGCCTGAGACGTTTTGTAGCTCGACGAAACAACGTTCGTTTGTACGGCGTCTCTGTTGGGACATAAATGCAGATAAACGAGTCTGTAGCGTCTTTCATCACACATCAGGACACAAACACGAGTTTTAAAGTCCACTTGTTGTTTCCTGCATGTTTTGACTCTTTCCATGAGTTTTTTTTTTTTTTTTTGGATTTAAACGTCCCACAGCGTCTCTCTGATGGGTTGTCAGCCTCCTGGCGCCGCGGCACCAACCAACAACGACCACAGCAGCAACCAGGAAGTGTTCAAACACTCCAGAACAAGAGAAAAAACACAAACCAACACGTAGAAGCCCAGACTTTGCTACACTTTGACCTCAGCTCCAGTGTGGGTGGATCTAGACGAGCGACTGAGACACGGACAGTGCTTCAAAAGGAAGATCCGCATGGACAGAAAGCCGGAGACGTCTCTGGCTTTAAGCGTCAGAACAGGATGAAGGTCTGGGCCGTCCGGCACCAAGCAGAAAAGTTCTGACATGGAAGGTTCTGGGAAACGTCGGCAGCAACAAAGACCTCCGATCACCACAAACTGATGGGTTTTTTCTCCCTTTGTCTCGTCTGTCAGGCTGGAGAGGTTTCCCCAGCGGCTCCTGCACCGTAAACCATCAGCCTGTCAGAACCGGACCACTCACGGGTTCACCTGGGGCCTCAGGGCTTGGTAAAGTCCCTCAAAGGTGGGCCGGTCCAGGATGTTTCGACTCCAACAGCGCATCATCAGCTCAAAGAGAGAGGGAGGGCAGAGCGGCGGGGCGTAGAGGAAGACCTAGGTGAGAAATGGAGACAGACATGATCAGCTGATGCCAGAGCAGGAACTAAATCAACATCCGATCAGATCAATCAGAGATGCATTTGATCATCTCCAATGACTCAAACGGGTTCACGCGGCCTTCTGAAATCTGAACTTTAAAGCCCTGACGTGGTTGAATAAAGATCAAACAGCGCCCTCTAGTGGAAGACGACGAAGATGCAAAACCCACGGAAACGCGTTAAAGTTGGAGTGTTTTCTGGATTAGTGAGGATCTGGGGGTCTTGGTCCCCGGTTGGGCGGTCCCACCTGTCTGCCCTGGTTCCTGAAGAACTCGCCCGAGTTCTCGATGACTTGTTCGTCAGACAGCAGGCTGTAGGGCTGCTCCTTGCACAGCGTGAAGACCTCCCACAGCGTCACTCCAAAGGCCCACACGTCGCTCGCTGTCGTGAACTTCCCCTGGAAACAAGCGTTAAGGTTTAGCGTTCATACATTTCACCTGCGGGACAATAAAACCAGGACACGTCCTCCCAGCTGACCCAAGATCAGACCCAGGAGGAAAACTTGGAACTCCTCCTGGGAGGTTCCCAGACCTGGATGAGGAGGAGTCCGGCTCGTTTTCACATCCTGGTTCCTTTGGTCCTGATCTACATCTCATGACCAGATGAACGTTCAGAGTGAATCCAGCTCCGTTTTCACCACAACAGACCGGACCGACCTCCTCATCACAGCAGATGAAGTTCCCCCTCTCCTCTAACGACACCAGGATAAAACGTGTTCCTGAGGGTTCTCTCCTCACCAGCAGGATGCTCTCCCAGGCCATCCATCGTATGGGCAGCACGGCCCGGCCCTGGATCCGGTAGTAGTCGCTGCTGTACAGGTTCCTGCTCATCCCGAAGTCGGCGATCTTGATGGTGAGGCGGCGGTCCAGCAGGCAGTTCCTGGTGGCCAGGTCTCGGTGCACGAAGTTCAGCGACGCCAAGTACCTCATCCCGGAGGAGATCTGCACGGCCATGTGGAGGAGGTCAGAGAGGCTGGAGGGAGGAAGAGTCAGAGGTGAGAATGAGGACGTTCAGATAGAAACTGATCCGAGGCCTGCGCTCCTCCACCCACCTGACTGACGGGATGTTGTTGGCGTGCGTCAGCGTGCTCTCGATCTCCCGCTGCGACAGGAACATGTTCAGGTCTCCGTTCTCCATGTACTCGGTCACCATGCAGAGCGGGTCGGACGACACACACACACACAGCAGCCGGATGATGTTCGGGTCGTCCAGGCGAGACATGATCTTTATCTCCTTCAGGAAGTCGTTCCTGATGGGGACCAAACAGATCAGACCCGGAAGGCCTCAGTGGGTCCAGACTAAGAGGGAAGCATCAGAGAAAACTGAAACCACCAGACCAGTCCTTAAACGGGACGGATCCTCAGACTAGGGTTGTGACGGTGTGAAGATTTAACTTCACGGTTATTGTGACCAAAGTTATCATGGTTTTCGGTATTATCGCGGTATTTTTTAAAAACGTGTTACATTTTCAGACAACTACATAAACCCTGTATATCAGGAAAATATTGTCCTCAGTTTGTGTCTAAATTTTGTCTAAAATGTGTTATTTTGTAATTATGTTGTTTATTTGTTTACATTTTTCCCCTTTAGTCTTTAAAATACCAATATTTGCCCATAACTTCTTATTTTTTGTCTGTTTGATGTCATCATTTTAAAAATATTACATCAGATGATACTCAGTACTCGAGTAGCCTTCTAATCAGATACTTTTTACCCTTACTTGAGTAATAAACCCTATATCAGGAAAATATTGTCCTCGGTTTGTGTCCTTCCAGTGAGCTTTGCAGATGTGGGAAAATGTCATCAGGCAGTAATCGTTGTTAAATTCATAATTATTCTCAGAGAGAGACCAACTCTTATCTGCCCCTGGGAGCCCCGTAATGCATAGCGTCATTTCAACATGGCGGTGTCCGCGACACGGTTTATATGCAGGTAGCGGCGCTGCGGCTGCTTTATATAGCGACTCGTTGCATTCTCCCTCAACCCAAATCCTCGGATCACACATTTTAGCTAAAACGCTAACGTTAGCTTGCCTTGCGTCGACTGTAGAGTTGTGGGTGATGGTCACGCAGATGTGTCATGAGATTTGAAGCGTTGCTGCCTTTCACAGACACTTTTTCTGCACGTGCTGCAAACAGGATAGCCGTCTTCTATCAGCTGTCCCTCGGCATTCTTCAAATATCCAAAACATGCCCGTACTTCCCACTTTGTCTTCTTTGAGGGATAATAAATGTCCTGAGTGCTGCCGTCTCCTCCTTTGGCCATTATTTCAGCTTTAGCTTCAAGAAAGTTTTGGTTGTAAACAACAAAGTGCGCATGTGCCGCCGACAACTTCAGCAGATGATACGGTGGCTGGTAAGGGTCACCGCGCCTACACCGCAGCCACGGTAATCCACCGAGATAATATATGTTTTAAAAACAAGACGGTTATTATTATTGTCAACTTTTTTACCGGGGTTTACCGCTACACCGGTTACCGTGACAACCCTATCCTCAGGTAAAGTTTACCTGAAGGCGAGGTGGAGTCTCTTTTATCACCCCCACTGGTTTCAGGTTTTCACTCATCAGAATCGTTAAAATCAGTGATTTTAAATCCATGAGCAGAAAAACAATCCTAATTTGGTCTAAAGCTGTGTGATGCTTCTGGAACACCGAGTCTAAACCCGGCCTCCATCCCTGACCGGGTTTCGCGTACCTGGCCTGACTGGTGGCGTCGGCTCTCAGCTGTTTAACGGCCACCAGCACCGAGCGGCGGTCCCTGTCCTGGAGGGGCGACCCTTCCCTGAGGAAATCTGGGAGTCCCTCAGCTTCACACAGGTGGACCTGCAGCAGAAGAACATCAGGTGAGTTACCCGCAGAGGCGTCCCTCCTCAGTGACGCTTAGTGACTCCGCCCACCTCTCCAAACTGCCCCTCCCCCAGCTTCTCCCTGAAGATGAGCTGTTGCCGTGGGAACTCGGCAGCAGAGATGTCCTTCCTGGTGAGGGAGTCCACGGTGAGGGCGGGGACGGCGTACATGTTGCTGCCGGTGACGCCCTGCAGCCGCACGATGTCGGTCTCGGCGTAGTGCGGCGCGCTGCTGTTGAAGCACTGGTGGGGGGTGCACTGGGTGACGTCTGGCTCAGCGTAGCCCCCCCCGCATGCTGCCAGAGACAGAAAGGTTCGTTTGCTTTAAAAGCCACAAAGATTTCATCCTGAAAGAGACGACGCCCAGCCTTTTATCTGGTTTTGTTCCTCAGTGTGAAACCCGCGTTCACCTCTCGGCTCTTACCACGAAGCCAGCCGGACATCTTGTGACAGGAAGTCAGCAGGAGGAGGTCATAGAGAGGATTACCCAGGAGGAGGGCTGGAGGAAGAGGAGACATGGAAAAGGGCAGAGAGAGCTGGGAGGAAAAGAGGAGAAACACTTCAGAATGAATGAGCATGCAGGAGGAAACAAGAACATCCGGAAGGTTCTTTCAGCTCCTTCCGGAGCTGCAGGAGAGATCCTCCTTCAAAGACGGAGCAGCTGAAAAGGAGCGACAGAGGAGGAGATTCACTGTAACGGACAGCAGGGGGCAGACTCCCGCACTACAGCAGCATGTTGCGCATAGAGCTAACAGCTGACTCTGAACAGGAACGGAGGCTTGATGGGAAGACTCATGCATCACCTCCAGCTTCCAGACAAACTTCAGGAAGATTTAGAGACGTGTGACATCATCACTGACACTCCGGCATCAGGGAGGAGGTCAAATCTGTTCTGGTTCTGTTTGAAAGAGGATTCCCAAGTGACTGCACTTTTGACTCAGGTAGATAAAACTGTTTCCCACCCGCAAGCTCAGATGGTTCTAAATAAAAAGGTCAAAGGTCACACAACGCCACAAGTGTACAAATCCCATGTAAAACATACAGATCGTTAAAGAGCAAGTCACCCCCTACCAGAGTCTTACTCCACTCCCACTTCCTGTTTGAAAAATGCAACAAATGCTGTTGCCTTGCAGACCGAGAGGGTGGAGCCGCTAACAAATACACACACACACAGGCTCACAACGACATTGTGACATCATATGGTACCAGCTAACATTCTATGGTACCTCTTAGCCAATAGCGATGGCAGATTTAAATTCAAATGCAGTGCAGAGTTTTTACCTGACGACGGCACAACACTGACAGTTTTAGGCAGAAAATTAAAATTTTAACTAAAATGCACTAAAGTGCAAAACTATTGACGACACGTGTCTGCAGCACGATTAGACATACATTTATATAGTTTATCAGGAAAAAACAAGTTGATTTGGGGGTGACTTGCTCTTTAATGAGTCAGCTGAGTCCGTCCAATCAGGAGAACAGACAGATGTGAGGAGATAAAAGTGTTCACCTGAAGCCTCGGCGCTCTGAGGCAGCTCTGGTAGCTTGTTCCTCAGCGCCACCGGGTTCTGGTACTGTGGGTCCAGCAAGAAGATTCTTTCATAGTGGGGGTCTGCATGGGTGGTACCTGTTGATGAAACAGTCATGATCCAATCAGAACAATAAAACCCAGGATTTTCCACCTCCTTAGTGATTTAAAGCTATGCTAACACTTGAAGCCAGGGTTACTTAAACATAATGGTCCGAGGGCCACTCAGCAAAACCACCTGAAGTTCGAGGTCCATGCCGCTTGCTACTAGACTCAAAATATTTTTGTTTAAGAGTGTGGATTTTTCTACTTCCTGGCTTATTTTAGTATCAGTTAGCTTGTGTTAGCAATAGCTTGTTTTCTGAGCTAGCCACAGCAGGATTGTTTACGACAGCTGTAATTCCGCTTTCCACCAGAAGGAACCAAAAATGTACTTAGTGTTGTTTTAAATACATGAAGATATCTTGAAGAGATGCACTGCTGCAGAAGAGAAGAGCTGCTACGGTCACCCGGAGGTTCAAAAAGGAATTTTTAGTATTGGTGATTGGAAGCAGAGCTAGATGGGGAAATGTTGGAGGGGCATTTTTAATGTGTGCCGGTGTGTTTTGCTCTTCTTCTGCCATCTGTGCTCGTGCTTTTGGAAGTGTGTACCATTCAGAAGACGAAATCAGTTCACAGCAGATTTAGTTTTATGGTAAATAGTAAATGGCCTGTATTTGATATAGCGCCTTCTAGAGTCCTGGAACCCCCCAAGGCGCTTTACAACACAATCAGTCATTCCCTCTATCACACACACATTCACACACTGATGGGGATGAGCTACAATGTAGCCACAGCTGCCCTGGGGTGCACTGACAGAGGCGAGGCTGCCGAGCACAGGCGCCACCGGTCCCTCCGACCACCACCAGCAGGCAACGTGGGTTAAGTGTCTTGCCCAAGGACACAACGACAGCGACAGACTGAGCCGGGCTCGAACCTGCAACCTTCCGATTACGGGATGAGCACTTAACTCCTGTGCCACCATCGCTCCCTTTATGGGAGTCTGGAAAAAAAAAACGTGAAAAACAACTTTCTGTTGGTACCTGCTGGAGGGTGCCTAGAGCGGGGGGGTACAGGGGGCGTCTGCAGGATGATGGTGTCGCTGCAGGAGGACAGTCGAACCGTTACCTCCTCATCAAGGATCCGTCGCGGAGCCTGGAGAATCAAATGGATGAAAACCAGACCTGTAACCTCAGATGTCTTTGTCACAGATCTGGACTTCCGTCGGACCAGAAGGAACCTTCTGTAGGACCATCAGGACAAACAACTGTTATCCTCTCACCTTCTCCAGAACTTTGCAGACACACTGGCACCACAGGATGAGGAAGATGATGACGACCAACAGCAGAATGATGGTCACCAGGCAGCCAATCAGAATGGGCATGTTCCCCTCCTCTGAAGAGTCGCTGGATGATGGAACAGCTGATGGAGGTCAAAGCAGAAGAAGCAGATGGGTTTGAGAGACACAGAGTTGTCAGAATCAGTTGTGCAGTTTTAAATATTACATTTTTACTCTCGACCGGAAAAGGGTGGCTTGCCAACTCCGGGTCGGGAGAGTTCCTACCTCAAGTGGAGGAGTTCAAGTATCTCAAGGTCTTGTTCACGAGTGAGGGTAGGAGGGATCGGGAGATCGACAGGCGGATTGGTTCGGCGTCTGCAGTGATGCGGACACTGAGCCGATCTGTCGTGGTGAAGAGGGAGCTGAGCCAGAAAGCCAGGCTCTCGATTTACCGGTCCATCTATGTCCCAATCCTCACCTATGGTCATGAGCTTTGGGTAATGACCGAAAGAACGAGATCGCGGATACAAGCGGCCGAAATGAGTTTCCTCTGTAGGGTGGCCGGGCTCAGCCTTAGAGATAGGGTGAGGAGCTCGGACATTCGGGAGGGACTCGGAGTAGAACCGCTGCTCCTCCGGATCGAAAGGAGTCAGTTGAGGTGGTTTGGGCATCTGGTCAGGATGCCTCCTGGACGCCTCCCCGGGGAGGTGTTTCGGGCATGTCCTGCCGGCAGGAGGCCCCCGGGTCGACCCAGGACACGTTGGAGAGGTTACATCTCCACTCTGGTCCGGGAACGCCTTGGGGTCCTGCCGGAGAAGCTGGTGGAGGTGGCCGGGGAGAGGACGGTCTGGAGCTCCCTAGTTGGGATGCTGCCCCCGCGACCCGGACCCGGATAAGCGGAGGAAGACGACTTCGACAATATTTACTTTCATATTTTTGAGTCCCACCTGTCTTTGTTGTGATGGTTGTGCTGATGTCTTCATCTGGAGCAGAAGTTCCAATCTCTGGGATCTCTGATGCAAGTATGGTGTCCTCTGTGGAGCAAAAAGCACAATGTTATTCATCTTCATTCATCCAATAACATCAGCAACTATAGCAGAAACATATAGTCTGCGTAAGCAGGAATGAAGTCCTAACAGTCAGCTTTAGTTTCTTTGTAGCTTGTGAACACGTGCTAAGAGATGTTTACGAAACGGAGGCGGTTTTACCCGACAGAAACGAGATCTCACTGAACATCATCCAGACATCAGCAAAGTGGAAGCGGCAGCGGACGTATTTGGCAGAGTGGCGGTTCAGTGGCACGGTGACGTATCGGGCACTCGGGTTCCTGTCGTCCAACACGGTTTTAAACACCACAGGCTCCGCCTCCCAGGGGGAATTAAGGCGGAGCTTAAACCAACAGGAAACGGAGGAGAAGATCTTCACACCGCGGGAGAACATGTTGTTGCTGTGAACCTGGATGAAGAAGAGACTCAGACTCAGGAGACATAAACATCAGGAAGCCATGTTTCTGCTGCTTTTGGGACAAAAGGAACTTTTATGAGCCAGAGATGAGACGGATCACCCAAAGACCACAACTCTGTTCTCGTAGAAACTTTAAAATTTAGATTTCAACTATTTAGATTCAATAAATTCTAAATTCATAAAAAATCGGGAACGTTGGAGGAAACAACAAACCTTCATGGAGGTGAAGTTTCTCGGCCCGTCGAACACAAACTCCATCTCCACGTATTCCTGAGTTCCCGGCGTGTCGTTCTTCCAGCCCAGGTAGTCGTATCCGGGCCACACGTTGAACTGACGGGTCATCAGGTAGTCATCCAGACCCGTCATGCCGTCTGTCAGCTGGCCCAGACCACCAGACAGTTTCCTGTTGAACGAAACGTCCGTGAGTCACGGAGACCTGGAACACCTCGACGATAACGGGCCGCGCGAAACTGACCTTCTGTCCAGAACGCCGTCGTACGTGGAGTCGTTGAGGCTGGCGACGGGAGCGCTGTAGGAGATCAGACCATCTGCAGAAAACAGGAGGACAAAATCCACAAACATCTGATTAAGCCTGAGGAGAACCAGCAGGAACAGCTTAGGTCCACTAAATGAAGGACGTGTTTGGTTCCTACCGTCCCACGGACAGCCGTACAGCTCCAGCCTCATGCACACGGTGCTGGACAGCTTGGTGACGGGAATCACGCGGACGAAACGAGCGATGATGGGAGGCTTGAGGTCATTGGAGGAAACAGCGTAGGTGTTTTTGTTACCAAACAGTACCTGCAGGTAAGTAGGAGAATAAAAAGACCAGCAGGAGGGTTAGGAACGTCCAGGAATGTAGGAAGAAAGGAAGTGAGGAAGTCACAGGAAGCCAGGAATGTCAAAGGAATGTAACAGGATGTCAGCAAGTGGCCAGAACCACTTGAGAGTAAATAGTTCTGATAAATTCTATATTTCTGATCGTTTATCAGACCGTCTCCTTCTGTTCTGAACCCTCGCTTTTCCGGTTTGGGTCATATTTGGATCGCTCACCCCCTGGCCCTGCCGATTCTTCCAGGACTTCCACAGCTGTCCGTCTCGGCTGTAGTTGAGGCGGTACTCCTGGGCGAATTCTTTCCCCAAATTCCCAGCGTATCGTCCCTGAGTCCCGATCAGCGTGAGGAAGGTGAGCTTTTTTAGGTCGATCTGGAAGGGAGAACTTTGGTCACATGACCTTTGGATCGTTGGGAAATTCTAAACTCAAATCAATAAGTCTTTCTGCTTCTTAATGATTTAGTCTCAGAGAGGCGCGGCCGAGCAGGACCGAACCGGTTTGGGTCTGGTTTGTCTTCAAACGTTTACGTAGACACATACCTGCAGGTACTGACTGTCTGAAGGCTCCAGCGGTCCTTTGGGACACCAGGCGCCGTCCCCGTTATCACAGTGCAACCTGCAAACACGAGACAGTTTAAATAATCTGAGCTTCTAATCTAATCCATCTATCAGGCGGTGCTTTACATGAGGAGAAATAGGCAAAAGGAGCAGCAAGCATGTAAAACAAAACCTCATCTAAAGATTTCCATTCTTCTCATCCAATCAGAAGGTTTCCTGCTTTGTTGCTAGGAAGACCAGGGTCTTCTATAAGCTCAGTGATTGGTTGGCCTTATCTTAAACTTTAAATGTTACCAATCACCTTTAATCTCACGGCTCCTGGTGTAAGACAAGCTCCACCCACTGAAGGTCTGACCGATCAGAATTAGCTTGTTAGCTTTTTAAAATATTTTATTAGATTGTTGTACGAATAATTATTGATTATTAGTCTAGTGTTGTCCGTGAGTCACGATTCTCCACTAGAAACCAACAATATATTTACTGTAGCTAACCCTAAACCTGGGGCATGTTGACTAACTAACCCTAACCCTGGGGCATGATGACTAACTAACCCTAAACCTGGGGCACGATGACCCTAACCAACCCTTAACCTGGGGCATGATGACTAACTAACCCAAAACCTGGGGCATGATGACTAACTAACCCTAAACCTGGGGCATGATGTCCCTAACCAACCCTTAACCTGGGGCATGATGACTAACTAACCCAAAACCTGGGGCATGATGACTAACAACCCTAAACCTGGGGCATGATGACCCGAACCAACCCTTAACCTGGGGCATGATGAATAACTAACCCTAACCCTGGGGCATGATGACTAACTAACCCTAAACCTGGGGTATGATGACTAACTAACCCTAAACCTGGGGCATGATGACCCTAACCAACCCTTAACCTAGGGCATGATGAATAACTAACCCTAACCCTGGGGCATGATGACTAACTAACCCTAAACCTGGGGCATGATGACCCTAACCAACCCTTAACCTGGGGCATGATGACTAACTAACCCAAAACCTGGGGCATGATGACTAACTAACCCTAACGCTGGGGCATGATGAATAACTAACCCTAACCCTGGGGCATGATGACTACCTAACCCTTAACCTGGGGCATGACGAATAACTAACCCTAAACCTGGGGCATGATGACTAGCTAACCCAAACCCTGGGGCATGATGACTAACTAACCCTAAACCAGGGGCACGGTGACCCTAACGAACCCTAAACCTGGGGCATGATGACTAACTAACCCTAACCCTGGGGCATGATGACTAACTAACCCTAAACCAGGGGCACGGTGACCCTAACGAACCCTAAACCTGGGGCATGATGACTAACTAACCCTAACCCTGGGGCATGATGACTAACTAACCCTAAACCTGGGGCATGATGACCCGAACCAACCCTTAACCTGGGGCATGATGACTAACTAACCCAAAACCTGGGGCATGATGACTAACAACTCTAAACCTGGGGCATGATGACCCGAACCAACCCTTAACCTGGGGCATGATGACTAACTAACCCAAAACCTGGGGCATGATGACTAACTAACCCTAACCCTGGGGCATGATGAATAACTAACCCTAACCCTGGGGCATGATGACTAACTAACCCTAAACCTGGGGTATGATGACTAACTAACCCTAAACCTGGGGCATGATGACCCTAACCAACCCTTAACCTAGGGCATGATGAATAACTAACCCTAACCCTGGGGCATGATGACTAACTAACCCTAAACCTGGGGCATGATGACCCTAACCAACCCTTAACCTGGGGCATGATGACTAACTAACCCAAAACCAGGGGCATGATGACTAACTAACCCTAACCCTGGGGCATGATGAATAACTAACCCTAACCCTGGGGCATGATGACTACCTAACCCTTAACCTGGGGCATGACGAATAACTAACCCTAAACCTGGGGCATGATGACTAGCTAACCCAAACCCTGGGGCATGATGACTAACTAACCCTAAACCAGGGGCACGGTGACCCTAACGAACCCTAAACCTGGGGCATGATGACTAACTAACCCTAACCCTGGGGCATGATGACTAACTAACCCTAAACCAGGGGCACGGTGACCCTAACGAACCCTAAACCTGGGGCATGATGACTAACTAACCCTAACCCTGGGGCATGATGACTAACTAACCCTAAACCTTGGGCATGATGACTAACTAACCCTAAACCAGGGGCACGGTGACCCTAACAAACCCTACACCTGGGGCATGATGACTAACTAACCCTAACCCTGGGGCATGATGACTAACTAACCCTAACCATGGGGCATGATGACTAACTAACCCTAAACCTGGGGCACAGTGACCCTAACTAACCCTAAACCTGGAGTGACACGCGACGGCCCGTGCATTGCCAGTGACTCCCTATTCAAACTGTTTCGGTTAATCGACTGATTCAGGGGGAACTCACTGAGATTTATCTACTCCATCTACTCCAACTAACTAATCCTAACCCTGGGGCATGATGACTAACTGACCCTAACCCTGGGGCATGATGACTAACCATAACCCTGGGGCATGATGACTAACTAACCCTAACCCTGGGGCATGATGACTAAGTAACCCTAACCCTGGGGCATGAAGACTAACTGACCCTAACCCTGGGGCATGATGACTAACCATAACCCTGGGGCATGATGACTAACTAACCCTAACCCTGGGGCATGATGACTAACTAACCCTAAACTTGGGGCATGATGAATAACTAACCCTAAACCTGGGGCATGATGACTAACTAACCCTAACCCTGGGGCATGATGACTAACTAACCCTAAACCAGGGGCACGGTGACCCTAACGAACCCTAAACCTGGGGCATGATGACTAACTAACCCTAACCCTGGGGCATGATGACTAACTAACCCTAAACCAGGGGCACGGTGACCCTAACAAACCCTACACCTGGGGCATGATGACTAACTAACCCTAACCCTGGAGCATGATGACTAACTAACCCTAACTATGGGGCATGATGACTAACTAACCCTAAACCTGGGGCACAGTGACCCTAACTAACCCTAAACCTGGAGTGACACGCGACGGCCCGTGCATTGCCAGTGACTCCCTATTCAAACTGTTTCGGTTAATCGACTGATTCAGGGGGAACTCACTGAGATTTATCTACTCCATCTACTCCAACTAACTAACCCTAACCCTGGGGCATGATGACTAACTGACCCTAACCCTGGGGCATGATGACTAACTAACCCTAAACTTGGGGCATGATGAATAACTAACCCTAAACCTGGGGCATGATGACTAACTAACCCTAACCCTGGGGCATGATGACTAACTAACCCTAAACCAGGGGCACGGTGACCCTAACGAACCCTAAACCTGGGGCATGATGACTAACTAACCCTAACCCTGGGGCATGATGACTAACTAACCCTAAAGCTTGGGGCATGATGAATAACTAACCCTAAACTTGGGGCATGATGAATAACTAACCCTAAACCTGGGGCATGATGACTAACTAACCCTAACCCTGGGGCATGATGACTAACTAACCCTAAACCAGGGGCACGGTGACCCTAACGAACCCTAAACCTGGGGCATGATGACTAACTAACCCTAACCCTGGGGCATGATGACTAACTAACCCTAAAGCTTGGGCATGATGACTAACTAACCCTAACTTTGGGACATGATGACTAACTAACCCTAACCCTGGGGCATGATGACTAACTAACCCTAACCCTGGGGCATGATGACTAACTAACCCTAACCCTGGGGCATGATGACTAACTAACCCTAAATCAGGGGCACGGTGACCCTAACGAACCCTAAACCTGGGGCATGATGACTAACTAACCCTAACCCTGGGGCATGATGACTAACTAACCCTAAAGCTTGGGGCATGATGAATAACTAACCCTAAACCTGGGGCATGATGACTAACTAACCCTAACCCTGGGGCATGATGACTAACTAACCCTAAACCAGGGGCACGGTGACCCTAACGAACCCTAAACCTGGGGCATGATGACTAACTAACCCTAACCCTGGGGCATGATGACTAACTAACCCTAAAGCTTGGGCATGATGACTAACTAACCCTAACCTTGGGACATGATGACTAACTAACCCTAACCCTGGGGCATGATGACTAACTAACCCTAACCCTGGGGCATGATGACTAACTAACCCTAAACCTGGGGCATGTTAACTAACTAACCCTAACCCTGGGGCATGATGACTAACTAACCCTAAACCAGGGGCACGGTGACCCTAACTAACCCTAAACCTGGGGCATGATGACTAACTAACCCTAAACCTGGGGCATGATAACTAACTAACCCTAAACCAGGGGCACGGTGACCCTAACTAACCCTAAACCTGGGGCACGGTGACCCTAACTAACCCTAAACCTGGGGCACGGTGACCCTAACTAACCCTAAACCAACCTAAACTCAATAGTTAAGATAAAAACTCCAAACAGCTCGGAGGACAAAACCAGATCTTTTTTAATCAGCTCAGTTTTCTGAACAGGATCTTTAAATATGGAATCTGGTTTGTGAAGGTGCGGCGCTCACCTGGCGTACTGCGGTCCTGTGGTGTCGTACCATTGGCTGGACGCTGTAATGTCCTCATCTTTGATCCGCCCATCTTCCATGCCCAAAGCATAGCGACAGTGCTCTAAAAACACACGAGTTAATAAGAATCCTCCATAACCGGCAGGTTGGGAGGCTTCCTTCTGCAGGTAAGTCATACCTGGATCGATCTGTCCAATGACTGCCGGAACCGGAAGGATCAGCAGCAGGAAGAGGTGCATGATGGTCCGCGATCACACCGACACACTCGCTACATCTCTGAGAGCAATAAGAACGTAAATTCAGCGTCTTTTGTTTTCATTTTTCATGTTTCTGTGAAGTCACTTGGCTCAGATTTGGTTTCCCAGCAACAGAAAAAAACAACATTCCGAAGTCTTACGAGGTCTAAGTTGGAGACGTAGCACGACTGGGATCATCAGCCTTGGCCAATCGGATTTCTGGTGGGGAATAATAAAATAGTCACCATGATCTTCCACAATCCCAGGTGGTGGATCTCTGGTTCCTGTGACTAGTTAAGGACTCGACCCTGCGGGTTAACCTGGAAGAGGCTAACTGAAGCTCTGAACTCAACGGAAAACAAAAAACTGAAACAAACTTTAAACCTTTAAAGTTTCCTTCATCAGGAACGCCAAATGGATTCCAGGAGTTAAAACACGTTACAAACACAAGTAGGGCTGCAGCTATCGAATATTTTTGTAATCGAGTACTCTATCGAATCTTTTTTTCGATTAATCGAGTACTCTAATAAATTACCCTTTTGTGTTTGTAAACCATTATATCATATATTGATGAGCCAAGATGGCGCCGAGTATGGCTGCCTCGTCGCGCGCTCCACCAAGTTCCAACATTACACGCTCCATACTGTACATTAATGCCACTGTTTTGCACATACCAACCTCTGTACATTTTATATCTCTTATCTTATTGTTTACTTTATTCATTTGTATACTTAGATTAGCCATTTTTATATTTTACTTGTTTTTACATTACTGTATTTTTGCACAACTCTGTTGCTGTGAAGCTCGCACACAAGAATTTCACTCGCATGTACTGTACCAGTGTACCTGCACATGTGACGTGACAATAAAAGTGATGATATCAAATAGCATGTTATAATTATGAAAGACCTCTTAAAATGAGCAAGCAATTGCCAGTTATTCAAGTTTTATTCAAAATTAGTTTGCATAACTTCAGCAATTCAACTTTACTTCACAGTAAACAAATGCCTGTGCAAAAAATAAGTAAACCTGAGCCGATTTTCCCCTCGTGCGAGAATCTGCTAGCCTGCAAGTCAGACAAAAACTAGGAGGATAACTGTTGAAGTAGTGCTGCGAGCGGCTGCGGCCCAAACAGAACCAGAACCGCTCACGGCGCAAACAGCTCGCCGGCTGTTTCCCTATTAACACACGTCCGTTTTAATTTCCACACTTTTTTTCTCACAATAACAAGGATTGTCGAGAGCATGTTTGCTGTGGTTTTGTCAAATTATACTGATCACAAAACATTTATTTACTTTCTTTCGTTTTCCTCCGCCACTCATAAATACCCGTGTCCTCCTGCAGAAACCCCGAGGGACAACGGACATCAATAACGCAATAAAAAGTCCAACGTGTTGTGTAAAAACTGCTATTTTTAGCACATTTTAAGTTCGACGTGTTGCTACCAGATGTACGGTGTGAGCTGAAACTGAGCGCTACAAACGAAAAAGTCGCAGAGTCCGCAGATTATATAGAAAAACAGGCTAAAATGCATTATCTTGTAGAGGCTCCGAGTCCGCTTGCAGAAGTGACATTTACAGGTGCTGCAGCATGGAGGATGTGGTGTTGTGCTAGGCTAAATCCATTTTACTGTATTTATACTGGACTACGTTTTCCACCTTACGACGTGAAAAATGGTTCCACAACTTTGACATTTTCTGTCTTTTTCGCACTCCACCGGGGTTCAAGTTGTCCGCCATGGCTTAAGAGAAAGTTAAGTTATATTCGCTACTCGCGTCAGTCCAGTGGGCATGTGCGTCACTTATTTCGGTCCGGGTGAAACATGACCCCGGGCGATTGCAAAGCCATGAATTAATTAAATATGAATTAAACGAATCCTCGAGGCAGAGAATTTGACTCGAGGATTTTTTGTACTCGAATTATTCGAGGTACTCGAGGAATCGTTTCAGCTCTAAACACAAGCATTTATTTTGTCATTCTTCTACATCCTGTTGGACTTTCAGAATAAGGTCCTAGTGTCGGATGTCTGCTTTGTATCTGCATGAATGATACAGGAGCAGCTCTTATCCTGATGATCTTTTCGACACAGTAGGACTGCTTTTGTTCCACGTGTGTGCCGTTTGTGAAACCTCATGAATAAATTCTTGTTCATTAGAAGTTCCTGAATGTGGAGCCGCTCCAGACACTCCTACATCCAAACACGGACAGATTTCCTGCTAAACGTGATGCAACCCTTCCACTCTGACCGGGAGCTGGACGATCAGAGCCTCGGAAAAACAAAACGTTCCCGTTTGTACGTCAGCTCTCTCCTAAAGACACGACTCGGCAGGAAGGAGGGCAGAGGGCTGGACCACTCTGGGTTTCATTAAGGAGCTGAGTGTGTGTGTGTGTGCGTGTGTGTGTGTGTGTGTACACAACACGGAGCACAAACAAAATGTTGAACTGATTTAGTTTCTGTAGGAGATCCGAGACGCGCTCCACGTCTCTGAGCTCTGCCGTCATTTCAGAGGGACAAACGTCCCTTTGGGGAGAACAGCTGGACAGGGAGGGGGTGGGGGGTGAGGACAAAGGGAGGAAGGGAGGGAGAGAGAGGGAGAAAAGGTGGAGAACAAAGAGCGGAAGCAGAGCAAAGGAACTTTTCATGGTTGTTGGAGGTCACCGGAGTCACGCTGACGTCACGCTAACGTCAGTCCTTCTAAGGTTCTTCTGCTCTGAAGATAAATGTATCTGAAAAACCTGAAAGTGCTGGAAATCCGCAGAAGATCTAATCTGGACTCCGGCAGGTTGATTTCTCTAAAAGTAAATCTGAAACAAAGTCAGACATGCTTGTTGTTCCTCGGCCTCCCAACGAGCCGGATCTGGGGTTCCCTCTGGGGAACTCGTGACATCATCAGCAGAACCTCATCTGCAAAAGCGAATAAACGATAAATAAAAGTCCATCACCGAGCTCAGGCTTCACTCGCCCAGTTTTCAGCTTCTCTGAGCCTCGTTTTATTTCCTGTTTCGTTTCTGCTGCACAGATTTAGAGAAGATACAGCTCCTCAGGACCAAACGCATTCTCCATCGCCGCCTGACGCGCCAACGCCACCAACAGGCCGGGTGAGAAGGTTTACAGCAACAAGCTACGGTGTGGATATGTAGATAAGAAGTGGCGAATCAGCAGCTAGCAGCTTATTTAATGATTTCAGGTGTTCGTGGTCACAGGCGAACTTTATTCTGCTCATTTAAATCCGTTTAAACCGTTAGATCCACGGAGTTCATTGCTCTCACGTGATTGGTCGCTTACAGTTGGATCACAGCTGCATGTTGTGTTCTGATTTGTCATTCGAATAAAGTTTATAATTATGTTTTAAAGGGACTTTACAGAGTTTTGAATTTTTATGCTCGAGATTGCCCCCTCAGGCCAAAAGCGTAACGGCAGCTTCAATAGTAGGCTCGTGCACGAGGCGTGCATGCTGTACGTGCACACTCTTTCACGAAAATAACAGCTGAGACAGTCCCTTGTGTGTGTGTGTGTGTGTGTGTGTGTGTGTGTGTGCGTGTGTGTGTGTGTGTGTGTGTGTGTGTGGACAGAGGACAGGAGAACACGCAGCTAATTGATTAAATAATTTGGTTCTGTAGCTTTCTCTTCAGCACAGCCGACAAAGGTTCATGATGGGTCAGTCCTCCTGCATGCTCAGATCATTCCCTTCCCTTGCTTGAAAAATTGTTCCAAAATGAAAGTTGAACCCACATCTTTTTTATCTGTGAATTCAATGCCGTTCGGCGAGTCTCAAATAAAAATTTGGGCATCTTACTGTAAAAAAAATATACCATTAATGTAAAAAATAAACTCTAAATAAACTATGTTCACACCCAGAATCGAACCTGTGCCTCCTGCACGAGAGTCCAACGTCTTACTAGGTGAGCTAAAGCACCAGTGATGTCCTTTGTATTTGTAACATTTATATCCTTGATGACAGCTGAAACAACATTCAAAGAACGGTCCGGAGTGAAAATGGCTATTTTGTTGCTAATTAGCAGGAAATATCTAGAAGAAAGTTCTACAGAAAGTAGCTAAGGGTCCTCAGAAATGTAGCTAGCTTTGTCACTAGGCGTTAGGAACAGCGACAAAGTGGCACTGCCTCTCTCTCTGCTGCTAAAGCTACGGATAGCAAATGCTACGGGCGATGCCTGAGCGTGAACGCGCATGAAGCAGCCTGCTCGACCCGAGCATCTCTCTTTTTCTGTGATTTTACAGAAAAACAGGCAATCACAGTAAAAATGCCAGGGCTCATTCTACAGGACCAGGGCATTGCAGGAGAATGTATGAAGAAGACATTTATTATTTCTATACATGTTTTGGCTGTCACACTTCCATAATGCCCCTTTAATGTGGAAAAAGTCTCCAAGAACTCTTGAAACGTCTCAGTTTTGTACTTTTACAAGAAAGTTTCAGCAATCAGAAACTTGTTTTTGGTAAACCCATCTGACAAAAAGATGACTCAACATCTCAAACGTCCCACAGACCCTAAACGCCTCAATTATCGTGAATCTCAGGCGTACTTAACATCAAAGGAAAATTTATCTTACATCTAGCCTGACAGGAAATAAAACGTCGATCCAAAACCACCAAAAGAACCTGCAGCTGCGTCGGACGCTGCCACATAAACGGATCCTGAGGCAGCAACTCTGCAAACGCGCTCAAGAACATCTGTCGTTGCACCAGGAAGTGAGTTCAGCTGGGCTGGAGGGGTGGGGGCAGGTTATGTAATCTGCTGGATCCAGCTCAGATTCCTGCATCATCACTCATCTCTACAGTAAAATCACATGGTCACAGAGAGGCAGAAACATGGAGGAAGGGACACGCCAACAGGGACCGGCTGGAGCAAGGCAACCAGCAACAAACCCACACACAATTAAAACAGTTTTCACAATAAGAGCGCGAAAATATGCTTCCTGTTTACGTATTTCAGGTTTGAAACCACTAATGACGCCGTTTTACGGGAATAAAAAGCTGTAAAGTGATTTAATGAGAGTTTAGCTCCACATCTGCGTGCCTCAGTAACAGGGCCTCTCTCTAAAACCCGCCAAGAGGTTGGTGTCTGCAACTGATCATCCCACACCTCTGCAGGGAGAGAGAGAGAGCATGAAATTAAACTCCACGTTTCATTTTCAGATTTAATCCTGAACTGATCTTTAAACAAGAAGTTAAGCAGATTGAATCTGGATGAAGATGATTATGGTTATTACATCTGTGTGTTTATGATAATTAACTCCGACAGGTTGTCCTCGTGCAACAAACCAGATCGGCCAAAACAAATCCAGAGTTTTAAACAAAAGCTTTTTGGTGCTACCTTAAGTGGAAGAGTTAAAAACTCAACTCTCCATATCTCCTTTGTCTGTTTTCCTTTTCCTCTCCTCCTCCTCCTCCTCCTTCGTCAGAACAAGCGACGCCAAAAGCCTCAACATTCCAAACATTCAACGCAACCCAGATTTCTCTCTGCTTCTTTCTGTCTCCGGCTCAAACAAACACGGAGGAATCCAAACGCTCCTCGGCTAACGGGGTGAATCAGGCAGAGTTCACCCGGAGCAAAACAAATCCCGGAGTCTGGGGGGGGGGAC